TAGGTTATTTTTATGTTTATAGAGCATTCCTTTAGAATATAAAAGTATGAATCCTTTTAGAAGACAAGGTTAATGCTATGTATCCCCTCTTGATTCTTTATGACCACCGAGTTCTTCTAGTTCTTTTTCCACTCGAAAAAGGGAAACAGGTGGGGTGGGGGGCAGTGAGGGCAGCTTTGGCCCCACCTAGTGGGATTTGAACCGAAAAAAGAGCCATGTGTTCAGAGCAGATGGGCTGGGGGTGGGCGGGCGGGGATGTTTGTGAGGCCCGTACTGTGAAAGTGCAGGTTTTGGGTGAGAGGCCCTGAGGATATTTCACAACACACGTTGGTGAGCTGGCTGGTGACCTCGTACCTTACGGCCCCACTGCACTGACAGTCCCCACCCTGCACTGGTGTGGGGCGGGTCCCGGGCCCTCGGACGCATGCTGTGGCCAGGATGGGAATCCCACATCCCGTTGGGGGCAGAGCTGATCCCAAGCACCAGGCAGCTCTGGTGCAGGGAGGGGCTCCACAGCAGGACCAGAGAAGGCAAACTTCTGCCAGGGCGGGCCAGCAGCTCACTTCTCCTCGGCCCTCTCCATCCCTCCGTGGGGGTAGGTTTCCTGGGCCTGGAGATAAAAGGCTGACAGAATTGACGGAATGGCGGCAGTCACACCAGCAAGCAAGTGCTAGGCTGTGTCGGAGGCTACCGGTGGCTGCTTAGTGTCCCCCTGCTAAGGCCTCCATGATGTCCCCTGCCCAAGCCCATCCCCTCACTGCCCAGATGGTGGTCAGGGTGCTATGGACTCCCTAGGTTTGAAGTCCAGCTCTACTGTTTACTAGCTTCTTGACCCTGGATATATATTTACCTGAGTTTTCTTACCAAAAATACAGGTTGTTGGAGGGTTAACAGAGTTAATGCATGTAAAGGGCACAGCACGGACTGTGGCCCATGGTAAGTGCTTAATAAATGTTAGATATTATTATTGTTATTACGTTACTAGGTTACATCTGTAGGAGCCTGCCAGCATGGGTGGGAGAGCACGCAGAAGGGCCAGTGAGTACAGCCGTGCAGGTTGTGCACTGTACAACACAGGGCACCATTTACACACTAGTGCCTTCTGTAGTAGTGTAGGAGACAACCTGTGGGTCTATACACTGGCCCTAGATGCCCTGGGCATCCCTACTTCAATTTCTAATAGGTACCACTTAAAGTTGGACCATTGGGGGCAATCTATCTCAAAGAAGATAAAGGAGATAGTATGATTTCTGAGTAGAGCTACTAAGATTTCAATAGGTATGGCCCAGTCCCTGAAAAGGTTACAGGACTATAGGAGCAACAGTTAGGATCTTGGCCAAGTCACTCTGCTCTGAGCCAGTGTTCCCCATCTGTCCAGGGGACTGGGGTGGGGTGGTTGGGCTGGTTACAGGTTGGCAAACGGGCTTTCTCATTGTATGCCAACTCTGACTGATTGGCAGTGGCTGTATGAGGCTTTGTAAAGTGAAGACATCAGAGACCACTTTGGGCTGGGTGGGAAGGGTTCTTCGATCGATTGGTGATGTCTGCAGGAGGCCCGGGAGAGGGGAGCAGTGGTACTTTGTGCTTGGGCCACTTGCCCGCCTCAGATTGGCCCAGTGGTTCTCAATGCTGGCTACACCTTAGAGTCACCAGAGAAGCTTACCACCGCTCTGATTCGGGGCTATATAGCCTGGCCTTGGTAACTGTTTTCAAAAGCTCTGCAGGTGATTCTAACGCATGGCTGGGTTGAGAACTGCAAGGGTAGATGTCCCTGTTTTTCCTTGCCATCCTGAGCTCTACAACTTCTTGGCATGGTCAACAGATCTCGGAGCTTTCTTCCAGCAGAAATGATGGGGGGGGGGTGGGGGTTAAAAGGCCAGTTTTCCATCAGTTTTATTGCCAGAGAGGGTTTGTCTTTAAGTTGGGAGGCAGAGGTGGAGGGCACTGGCCACGATCATAGATCGGGGTATGCAGGGTGACCTTTTCTTGGGCCACACTGTGGAGTTTCACTCGGGGGAGGCCCAGGCTTTGCACCCGGGGGATCTCACGGGACTCAAAAAAGCCTGGCCCACACAGACTTTATCAGGAAAGCCCTGTGGCTCCCTTGATTTCTTTCTTAAGCTCCTCTCTGTCCCCAGGGAAGGTGGGATATTGGGACGATGCAGAGGCCCAGTGAGGTCTGCAGGAAGTAACATGCCCCAAACTCACAGGTGCACATTCTGGGCCTTTGGAAGGAGTGCCGGGGGGGAGAGGGAAGCAGATGAAAGCTGACCGGGGCCGATGAGCTGGACAACACAGGGTCAGGGAGCCAGGCCTGGAGGTGGTGCATTAGGACCACAGGCAGCCCTGGATGTGGACAGCTCCTCCAAATTACATTCGGGGTGGTCAAGATGAGAAGTTTCTGGGGGGGCCACCCCGGCCTTAGCCCCACCATGGGCCCAGAATTCAGCCAGCTTTCTCAGCCCCTCCGGACCCAGCCCTGGAATTCCAAGGAGCAGGTCATGCACGGGCTTTGCCTCCCACCCGGAGCAAGATAGAAGCAGTCAAATAACATAGAATTCAATAATATTTTAAAATAAGCTTTATTTAGATTTTTTTTATATTTTATATTTGCATCCATGCCTTCGAGAAACCTTTCCCATGGGAAAAGTTATTTTCATCTAATTTACCCATAACTCATTCGCTATTTGACGTAGTTCTCTTAAATAAATCATCCTTAGTAACTCTTAGATTTATCTCCTAATTTACAAAAACTGAAATGAAAAGGAACTACTAAATCATTACCAGGAGTGGTTGCAATCTTATTTTCTCATAAGTAAAGGGCAAACAATAAAAATCAATCGAAAGGGAAAAAAAAAATTCAAGGGGGAGAAAAGTATTTTCTAAAATCTCTCTCCGTAGAGAAAGATGCCAGCCAGGCTTGCAGGAACAGCTTAGCCAAAGGAGGCCAGAAAGCTCCTTATTAGGCAGGGTACCCTGACTGTTCCTGCCCAATCCCCCCCACCCCCCACCAAGTCAGAAAAAAAGGGAGCAGCCTACTGGTGATTTTTTTGTGTTTGTTTTAGAGACTTTGGACAAAATATCCTACCCTTCTGATAGAGACTCTCCAGTACTTTCAAATCTTGTAAGAGCTGAAAATGTTACCGTTAGCAGAAAAGCGCAACTACGGTGGTGCAGAGGATGGGTGAACTGAGCTGTGTTAGTAGTTAAGGTGGAGTGGGGGGGTGGATTTACAGGTCAAAAGAAAAGGGAAAGCTAGTCTTAGGCCTTAGGAGGCTCTGGCTTAGAAGCTCATGTGTTCTCCACCACTCTACGTTACAGTCCCCATGGTTCCTTTGCTGGTGAAGCCTCATTGGGGCCAACACTGCTCCCCAAATAGGCAGAGAATGTTCCTGCCAGCCTTTCACTCCTAGAGTTAGCAGGCTTAGGCTACTGCGACAAGGTGGAGGACAGGGCCCAAGGGATCCCGGGAGATTCTGTTAAGTGTGGCTGTAGGAACCAAGCAGAATGGGGAGGGCAGAGAGGCTCTGGTGCTGGACACTGTGTCCCCAACAGCCCTCCCCTCCCTCCCTTGAGATGGGCACCTCCCCTAGTGACCCCTGCCTGGCCGACATGCAGAATAACAGACGATGAGAAAGACACGGCTGCAGGAAGAACCTATGCCTCTCAAGGACCTTAGTGGCACTGCTCAGGCCAAGGGTCCCTGTGGCCATACCCCGTGGTCATGTGATTGGCTGTCTCACTCTGTGCTCAACCTCTCAAAAGACAGACCCAAGAGAAAGTGACCATTACAGTAGGCCTTCCTCTCACTGAGGTCAGTGTTTCTTATTTCAGATAAATAAGTAGATATATAAAGGCCTGAAGAGGAGCTGTGGGGAGGGGGGAGAGAAAGGTGGAGTGCACTTTCATGCAGGGGTGAGAGAATGAAGGAGAGAGAGAGAAGAAAAAACAGAAAAAAGCAAGCTTTGAAATCCAATGGTCCCTGGGTTCTGGCCACCCTAAAGTCTACCTTGCACAGTTTGGAAGCAGCATGATAAGAGAACAGACAAGTCAACAGAAACACCCGCCTCCCGCCCACCCCATGGAAAAATATACATTCCAATATTTATGTAATAATTTAGATAGAATAAGTCTTCTGCGTTTGTGCAAATAAATTAAACGGAACAATTTTCTTTTCTTTTTTTTTTTTTTCCATAAAGAAAGAAACGGCAACGCAATTTAAAAACTGGCAGGCCGTTAAAAAGAGCCCGTTTGACCTCTGGCACGCCAGATCAAGGCAAGGCCCCCCCTGGCCAGGCTCGCGGGTCTTGGCGTCTTAGCAGGGAGCGGGCCTTACCCTGACCACGGGGGCAGCTGGCGCTTAAAGTGACTCGGCGCCCCGAGGGGTGGGGGACAGGGTCTGGTCCCGTGCGTTCACACAGGATGGGGGGGAAACACATCAAAAACAGACCACATCCTTGGGCAGACGGGCTCCAGAAGTAGCAGTTTGGACAAGGGACATTTACAAGCACGGAGTGCACAATAGTTCTGTTATTTACAAATACACAGCAGTCCTTCAAGTTTTCAAGTTTCATAAAAAGGAGGAGGGGAGGGGGAAGAGGGTGGGGGGTAAAAACCCAACGAACCGAACAAAAAAAAAAAACAAATCAAAACACGGAAAAGAAACAAAAACAGAAACAAACCCAGATTAACAACACAACTGTATCGCTCTGAGGACGACAGAGAGTTGACAGAGTCACACACGATTGGAGTATGTACATCAATTACAGAGGCGGCGCCGCAGGGGGCGGGGCCCGCGCTCGGCCACGCCCAGCACCCACGTGCGCAGGAGCTCGCGCGCGCACACGCCCCTCCACGCACGCCCCGCCTCGCCCCCGCGCCCCTCCTCCCCCGCGCTCGCACGCACGTCCACACGCAAAGACACGCCTGCGCGCGGCAGGCGAAGGGAGGCGGGTATCACCAGTCCGCGTCCTCCTCTATGTAATAATCAGGAGCGGTACCATCAAAGAGGCCGGGGTCGAGGGACTTCCGCTGCTTCCCTCTGGCGAAGACGCGGGAGATGGAGCCGAATCCCATCTTTTCTTTTTTCTTTTTCCGTTTTTGGTCTTCAAGATCCTCTAGTGACTGAGGAGTCGGACCGGGCGGTGGGGGCAGAGGGAGAAGAACAAAGCCACCTGAGCTGGGTGCAGGGGATGGGGATGGTGGAGGGGCGGTGGAGGGGACAGGGACAGCCGATGGGGCCACCTGTAAGAGGCCAGAGTCTGCCCCCCACCCCCACCCCTCGTTTGAGGAGGTGACACTTGGGCCCTTGTGGAAGCTCTCCGGGACAGCAGTGGGACCCCCACACAAGGCAGTCCTGAGAGTGTCGGCGGGGACGACCATGGTCACAGCAGTGCCTGGGCATCATAACCCCGCAGGAACCGCCAGCTGCTGCTGCTGCTGCACTACCATTGTCACTTAAATTCAGCTTGCCCACAACCCTGGGGTGCTTGCGAGGGCTCCCAGGAGTGCGTCTGCACACCTGGCTCTGGCCCAGTCCCCTGTCTTCGGGGACCCTGCAGCAAGGATACAAGTTAACTGTGGAAAACTCCCGGTGGGAAAAAGGGGACCCAGGGAAGCCTGGAAAATGACGAAAGAGAAATCTGAGCTTTGTGCGGGCCAAGAGCAAGGACCCCCTGAACCTTAAGGCCCTGGATAAGAGGCAGGACTGGCCACAGTGGGGAGTAGGGGATGCTGGGGCTTGGGTGCTAGTCCTCATTAGAACCCCTGGCCTCTCTGAGCCCAGTTTTCTAATCTGTGATGTGGAGACAACAGTGATGATGGGCATAGGCTCCTGTCTGGGCAACTGAGGGGCTGAGGCTGGGGTCTACCAGAGGGCTTTACAAACACAAAGACATGGGGTAGTGTTCCCCATCCAATAGGTGGACGTTACACTAATGGTTCCCAAAACACATCAGAAGGACCTGAATTCCAGCCCCCCCCCCCATACCTGGTGGATCAGAATCAGGGTTAAAGGCCCAGGAATCTGCATTTGAAAAGTCTTTCCTGGTGGACCCTGATGCAGATGAGCAGTGCATAGACCAGCATCTGGGAACCCAAGGACTAGACTGCTGACTTCAGAGACCCCTTCTGACTCTCAATTCCTGTTTTCCTCCCTGTGACCCCTCCCTGACAGGGTACTGAAATGTTAAAAATGAATAAAGAACAGCTTCCTACAGGAAGGGGCCCAAAGAGCCTATGGCCTGGTTCATCAGCCTTTGGCTGCCAGGAAAAGACATTCACCAGGACAACAGGATGGAAGATGTGTGATGCACTTAATGGGTCCACAGATTGGAAAGAGGACAGGGAAGGGCAAACCAGGTACTGACTCTGGGTCAGGCCACCAAACCATGACTGACCAAGGCAGTAGCTTAACTCCTCTCTGCCTTGGGTGTCCCAGGTATGGAAGTGGCGAGACTGAGGGCCCATGGGAACAAGGGACAGGGGGACTCATAGTCATGATGGGGTAAAGGGAGGGCCCAAGTGGCCAGGGAAGGACACCTACCTGTACAATGGGGTTGTGCAGGTTCTTCTGTACTGGGCCGGGACTGTCGCCCTGTAGCCAAAAAAGAGGGGGGAAATGAAACAGCAGGGACACACAACACACGGGAGCAGAGGTGGCCCATGGAGAGTGGGGTCTTCCATGGAAGGAAGCCATCTCTTAGGGACCACCCTACCTCTGCACAGGTGAACCCACCCCCACCCCTGAAGCAAACCCTCCCAGATGGTTCAACAATGGCACCTGGGGTTTGAGATGCTGCCTGGACCAGGGGTCCTAGGGTGCTCTCCTGCTTGCTCAGGCCTCTTGACCCCCAACACCCTCTGACCAACAAATCAGTCACTTGAAGGCTTCTAAGATCCTGTCCCAATTGGTCCATCAAGTTGGAACTGGAGATTGGTTATACTTGGTGTTGTTCATAAAGAAATACAATTTTAAAAGAAAAAGGCACAACAATAAAGAATTTCAGGACAGAAGACTCAGGAGACTAGGTAACTTCTAATTTCCCCCACAAACAATTCAATGCATCTCTTATTTTGTGGAGAGGTAGGCAGGCCTCGTGAGCCTGATTTACAGATACAGAGGGTAATCCAACATGATGGAACTCATGGCAGAGCTATAACTCAAATTTGGGGCTGTTTCTTCCTGGCCCAGTTCTCCCTTCGGTGGGCATGCAATGGTGGGCGTGCAAAAGCCTTAGCTACATCCCAGAATCTGGCTGCACTGCCTGGTGGGGCAAACAGATCTTTGGGATCACAAGTCATTACAAGGGAGGCCCCTGCTGGTTGTTTCCAGAATTGCAGGCAAAAAAAAAACCATGAAAAAACCAGATGTATGTCACTTGGGCCAAAGTTGTCTTCAACTTCCCTACACTTAGTCCCGACCTCTACTCTAAATTAGTGGCCAAAGAGTAAGAGGGAGAGGTCCTTAGTCCAGGCTGGGCTGTTCTTGCTGTGACAGGCCAAAGGCTTGAGAACAGAGGGTTACCTGGTGCTTTTTCCAGGCTCTTCTTGGCTTACCTGTGTGCCCATCTGTAGAAATGGGGATGAAGGTGGCTGAGGGAGGGCAGGGATGGAACAAATGGTAGTTTAGTCTTTAGTCCCATCCCAAGGTTTGCAAACAGAACCCATGTGGCACACTAAGAGAGGTCTACTCTGGGTAGGGGCATCTTTGTCAAATTCATGGGGTAGAGAATGAGGCCAGTGTCCACTAGAACTAGAATGCTTGTCTGCAGACAACTGGCTTATGAAAGCACCCAGGTCCTGGCAGCTGGGCCCTGTGCAAGGTGATCTTGGAAATAAATAGGCTGGACCTGCAGCTGGTATGCGCCAAGGCCAAGTTGGGGAAAAGGCTACGCCGAAGGCGATTCAAGAGGCATTGAGAGAACCCTTTCTGCAGAATGGACTTTCCAGCAGTATTCTGGCTCTCTGAGCCCCTTTGGGGCCCCCCATGAGAAATCAAAATATGGTCCCTGGGAAGGTCTCATCAGGGGTGTATGTGGCTACTCTAGGTCTCTAGCCCATGCTAAGAATAAGGGCGCTGTTGGCTGTAGGTTCAGCTCAGCAGGGGTCCCTCCAAACCAGGGACGGCTGTCAGAAGCCCTCTAGTAGTCTCCTCCCTCGTCCTGGTTCTGTCATTCAAGACAGTCTTTGTCACAGGGGTTCTGTCCTGAGCACTGGTGAAGAACAAATTGCTTTAAGGAAGTTGAAAAAGAATCCCAGCCTTGAGCAGGTTTCAGGACCGGAGCGGCCTTCTCCGCATCCCAGCTGGGCGGAATAAGGCCCTGGGCCAGCGATCCCTGCTGCCCATGTGACCAGGCGAGGGCAGCTAATTTTAAGTTTGGTCTTGGCTATTTTTATTAGTAGTCTTTAGCTACTTTTCATGATTATTCTAGATGGGAAAAAAGTTTCCCTTGTGATTACTCATATAGACAAAAGTTACTGATTATTATACACTGATTTTCAACCAGTACCATTCACATACTTGGTCATTATTGGTTGTAATAGTTCTATAGTTATTCTCTCGCGTTTCCAGGTAGGTAATCATATCATCGGCACGTAGGAGTTATTTTGCCTTTCTTTCCCATTATATTCACCTCATTTCTTTTTTATTATCATTTGTGCTGGTTAATAGAACATTAGCTGACTTTTTGAGAAAGCTTTCTCATACACTCAAAGACCTATGGTGTCTCGGTCTTCGCGGCAGGGGAGCCCTCCATGTTATCAGCTGTGAGACAGAACAAAACTGTACAATATAGCCTCCACAGCCCGCTCCCCAGTGTTTCATGCTGGAACCTCGACATGGCGTCTTCCTGTCCTCGGATGCGTGACCTGCCTTCATCCCCTCACTCCTTGAAGCCCAACCATCTGCTCTGCCAGTCACCAAGAGTTAGGTGGCCAGGGACCTGCACCTCTTGGCAGGTGGCGCTCAGCACGCCATCAAAAAGTGTGATTAAATAAGCAAAGCAAAAAAGCAAAACAAACAAACAGAACAAATTCATGGGATACCACTCCAGAGGCAATATTTGCCCAAACTCCTAGAAAATTAAAAAAAAAAAAAAAAAAAAAAAAAAAAGTCTGGCTCATTCCTAGAAGAAGGACTGAGAGCTGGCTCTATGGGGAAATGAAATACTGGTAAGGCCCTGAGCTCTGGAAGGTCGCAGCTGGGAGGAGAAGCCCACGGCCCCAGACACAGGAACCCTGCCAGAGGTAGTCCTGGGCTGTGCAGACCCCGAGCCGACCCAGGCCTGCCTTCCTCTGGGTTTTTCTTGCCCTCCCGGACAAAAGGAGCAAACAGGCCTCATTTCTTTCTCTCCCCACATCCATCTCTTCTTGCAAAAGGAAAGAACAGAACAGGAAATGCCTTCGCCAGAGTGCTCCCTGGGTGGACGAGAGGAAACAGCGGGTTCGTCTTCACCCCTCCACCCCACCCCTGCGGTTTCTGGGCAGGGCCCCCGGCCCCGGCCCCACTGCTGCTGGCCTTACGTTGCAGAGGGAGTGTGTCCGGTGCCGAGGGGAGTTGATGTCGCTTGGCGTGGACGACCGGTCGCCTTCGGCGGCAGACGCGTCGGAGATGACAGAGGGCTGCCGTGAGTGGCAGGGGCTCACCCTGACCGCTGGAAAGCAGGGACAGCTGGTGAGTGAGGGGTGGGGAGAAGGTCCCGCCTGTGCTGTCCTGCTGTCATGCCACCCTATGCCCCCGTTATCCAGATGAGAATGCTGGAGCATAGAGAAGAGATTGCCTAACCCTCTGCCCCTCCGTTCCACAGACCCACAAGTCACCAGAGAGCAGCTGCTGGGAAAGACCGCCCCGGCCTCTGGATCCAACCTCTCCTAACCACAGTGAAGGAGAAAAGGCAGGCGTCTCCAGGGACCTTGGTGACTGTCCACACAAGGTTCCCACCACCTGGACATTCCCTAGACCCAGAACAATCCTAACCACTAGTTAACACCGACTGCCCCAGGGAGACGCCTAGAGCCCACTGCAAGATCCCCTCTTTCCCCCACACCCCATGCCCAGTCATCCCCAGGGCAGCCCTCCAAATCTGTCCACCTTTCTCCAACCCCAAACACAACCCCAAAGTCTGTCCACTTCCAATCCCAAACACAAATATCCACTTCTCTCAACCCCAAACACAACCCCCAAATCTATCCACTTGTCTTGAACCCCAACACCAACCTGAAACCCATCCACTTCTCTCCAGCCTCACTGCCACTACCAAGCCAAGCCCTGCAGTCTCTCGCCTGAAGACCTCGCAGCCGCCCAGCGGCCTCCCTGACCCCTCTCCTCACACCGCAGCGAAGCCAGGCATTTGTGTTAAAACCCCCAAGGCCCGAACGGGCTCTGCCCACCCTCCCGGCCTTGGCTCAGGGTCACGCCGGCATTCTGACAGTGCCCAACACGGGCCATCTCCCTCCTGCCTCGGCCTTTGCTGGTCCCGCTGCTCATGGGGTGTATTCTCCTCATCGGGGTCTCAGCCTGTCCTGAGAGAGGCCTCCCCCAGTTACCAGCTCTCCCCACACGTTTTCCCACCAAACAGTGTCTCCTGTTGATTTGCCTCCCTGTGCTAACGACCATCTATCCCCTCCGTCTGTCAGCTCAGTTATGCCCGGTTGTCTGTCTTCATGCCTACAACATCCGTTTCCACGAGGGCAGGCACAGTGGGTGTCTTATCCATGGTGACTCCCAGAGCTCACAGTGCCTGGCACGGAGCAGGCGCTCGATCCGTAGTGGTGGAATGGACGGCTGAGCTCGGAAGGCACAGTCCCGGGGAGTCCCCCAGACCCCCGGCAGACTGCTTTCCTGGCCGCAGGCTCTGCCTGCAGGAAGCACTTTCTGCTCAGCGAGACTGCCTCGGGGCCTACTGTGTGCAGACAGCCCGTGAGCAGGTAGGGCTGTAGGAAATGGACGTGGGGTTTAACATGGGGGCGCTGGGGGGGATGATGGGCAATGAATGGGCTTTGCGGTCAGGGACCTGGGTTCCCAGCTAGGTGATGGCAGCACTGCGGGCTCCGAGGGCCAGCTGCCAATCCCCAGCCTGCACGTGTCACACAGAGGTAGCCCCCGCAACCCCCCGGTGTGGCATGGCTGGTGGGTGCAGATGCTGATGGTGCCAGGAGTGAACACGTGTGACCTCTGTGCACCCCTCCCACCATCCCACAATTGCCTGCCACCCTTAATCAAGGAGCTCTGCTGTCCCCCAGCCACAGGATCCCCTGAGGCCCAGGCTGGAGAACCCACGGAGCAGCGCCTGGGCACTGTCATTGGTCCAGGGGTCGGCAAGGGACCCAGCCTAGCCAGTCAGAGCCCTTCTTTGGGATTTACTCTAAACACAGAGAAAGAGATCATTTTTCTTCCTCCTGACTTTTGTGCTTGAAGACCTTACAAGCCCGAACTTGTTGGAGACTGTTTCGTGGCTTCGTGGAAAGAGACGGCCTCAAGAGGAGGCCAAAGGGAGGCAGGGGGGGCTGAGACAGACAGGTGGACACGCCCCAGGGATGTCTGGCCCTTGAGATCCAGCTATGCCTGAAGTCCATCCCGGGACTTCTCAGTTACACAAGCCTGGGCCTCCGCCCCACAGCCCCCTAAGCAGCTAGAGCAGGAAGAGAGGGGCTGCTTCCCCCACCAGGGTGGTTGGCGACCTCTCCAGAAGCCCCCACTGCCAGGGTGGGGCCAGGACTCACCTTGCCGGTCTGCAGGGTGGGGAGGGTGTGAGTGGTAGAGAGTCTGCTGGCTCTGCCGGATGGCCGCGGTCAGCGGGAGGTCCGCCTGCACCACCCACTCCTGGTTGCCGTTGAGCACCGTCTCACCCGGCATGGCCAGGGAATGCCGCTTGGGGACGTCCTTGGTCAGTGTAGCTAAGGACTGCTTGGCCTGGAGACAGAAAAAGGCGACGTGATCGAGAGGACCTCTTAGTCGGTTGCCCAGCCAGGACCCACCGTGGTGAGAGAGCCACGAATCCGACCTTGGTACCAGGCCACCTCGGGCTCTGCATCACGTGCCCATCAGAGTCAATTACCTGCTCACTTTGGGGTTCACTTTGGGGTTCCCCCTTAGTTCCTGCTAACACAAAGTGAGACCAGGATTACGAGAGAAAAAGGTGTCCAAGCACACACTTATCACCCATTCCTTCTGGTTCTCCAAGGGCCAGCTGGGATTTGAATGAGAGTAGAGGAAAAGTCACTGCCTTCCTGAGCCTCAGCTTCCTCACCTGTAAAATGAAAACCCCAGAGCAAGCAATCTTTAGGGCTCCCTCTAGCTTGGACACCCCGAGTCTATGAAATCACTCCCCTTCCATGGCAGGAGGAGGCTGAGTTGGAAGGTGGCAGTCCCATCCCCCAAGCTGGGTCATCATCTCCCTTCCGGTTTAGAAAACCATCATGTGCTCAGGGCAACAGCCCCGGGTCTCAAGTAGGGAGTGGAAGATTATCTGTGCTCGACAGACGAGAAACTGGAAGCTTAGAAGAAGTGACTCAAGAAAGCACCGTAAGCGGAACCTTCAAGTTGGGTCCTGAGCTGGGGAGTCTGGCCATGACCCTGTGGTTTCTATGTCACCCACGCTCCTCTGGGGCAACGAAATCAGCAGCACAAGTAATGCAGACTCTGAGTCCATGAAGCAGAGGCCGAGGTGTGTCTGGTCACCACGGAATCTACAGGCCCTGGCTTGGAGCTGGAGATGTGCACTGATCAATAAAAATCCTTAGAATTAATGGAAGCAGGCTCTGCTAGGTCCAGGCTGATGGCTCAGGGGATCTGCTCTGTTAACTTACCCCCAAAGGAAGGGAATAAGCCTGCTGAAGAAAGGGGCTGGGCTGGGGGTGGTGTAGGCCCCCCACCTGGCTTTCTTCTCCCAGGCAGGACCTCAGCTCTGTCTGGGCCTGGGAGAGGTACCTTCTAACTCAGCAGACAGCTTGACATCATTGCTGCTGGACAGCTGGGGGTCCCGTACAGTGAGTCCTGCGGGATGGGGAGGGGTGGGACTTCTGAGTTCTAAAGCACAGGGACCCTTACAAACAGTCTACTCGGGACAGAGCTACAACAGAGACCAGAACTACAGAAGAGGTGTGGAGTCAACTTAAAGGGCAGGCATGCCCGGGGCTGTAACGGGTCACCTTCCCATGGCAGTCTACACTACCTCCTTCGGCTCAACTCTTCCACTGAACGCGCTTTCATGCTGGGAGCTCCCCTTGAGCTCTGGCTCCCTCTTCTGTCTGAGCCTCTACCCTCTCCGGAGTGCTCTGTGCCTGGACTTCCGAGCTGCTGGATTTGGTGCATTGGCGCAAAGCCCCTCACATGACAGGAATCAGACAGAACTGGGTGCAAATTCCACTTTGACTATTTAACTTGCCATGTGACCTTGAGCGAGGTCCTCACCAGTAGGAGGAACAGAGAGGGATCATTTCTAGGCAAACAGCACCCCCTGGATTTGTGTGACAAAGTGGCCTAGCCAAGTGCTTTGGAGTTTGGGCTTGGAAATTGGACAGCTCGGATTTGAGCCCGGCTGTGCCCCTTCCCCGTTGGGGGATCCTGAGTGAGGTCCTCCAGCCCTCGGTGCCTCCACGCCCTCATGTCTAAGGGGGATCCCTTGGTTGCTGTGCAGAGTCCTGATCTATGGGAAAAATACTCAATAAAGGTTAGTGACTCAGCAGGAAACATCTACCAGGCATGGCCTAAGTTCCATGAAGACCCAGAACCCAGTCTGTCTACTGCACGCTCAGTAAGTCGTAGCTGCAGGATTGGTGGGGTCACTGACGCCCCCCTCCCCCCAAGATGGGGTGAGAAGATGCAGGAGGCAGGCAGGACTTCCCTCTGGATCGGGGCTGTGCTGGGCTTCCCTCTGGATCGGGGCTGATGAAGGTCCCTGACTGCCTGGAGGGCCTGCTGATGGGAGGCCACGAAGCAGTCATGTTGGAGGGAGCCTGGGCCCCTGAGGGATGCTGGAGTGCGGCTCAGTGGAATCCTCCATTAGCTTTTCAAGGCTTTCCTGCTTGTCCAGTGAATGTCTCCGCTGGCCAAAGGCTGGGAGGATCCTGGTACAGGAACCTCCAGGAAAACATGAGCAGGTCTGTGAGCAGGTCTGGTCCAGGGCCAGGAGGTGGTGCTTGTGGCAGCTGGGTTTCCGCAGAGCGAGGGCAGAAGCAGCGCCAACGCAGAGCACGGCCGCCCCTGTCCTCCCCCTGCTGCTTGACCTGCCTCTCACGCACCCTCACTACGCCTGACTCTCGCCTGGGCCTGTGGCGGCTGCCATTTTTGCAGACAAGGAAATGGAGGTCTAGGCAGTTAAAAGTGACTTGAGGTTGCACAGTGACTGGCCAGTGGAAGGGACACGAAAATCCACACCTCCTCACCCTGGTGGGGCTGAGGACAGGATGGGGCTGGGTGCAGAAGCCCGGTCAGCTGGTATTCACTGAGCATCTCCTCACCTCACCCCCGCCCCCCAGGAGGAAGGTCTTACAGTCCTGACTTCATACATGTGGAAACTGAGAATCAGAGAGGCTGAGTGCCTTGTCAGAGGTCACACAGCCGGAAGATGGCAGGACCCAACTGGGATTCTGTTAGGTCTGGATGGCTAGGGCATGGCCCAGTGCTGCGCCCATGCTCGACTGAAACACCAATGTAACAGAACACTAGTTCCCAACTGGAGCGAACTCTGCCCCTGCCCACCTCCCCAGGGGACCCTGGGAAATGTACTGAGACTTTTGGTTTTCCCAGCTGGGAGGTGTTCCTGGCACCCAGTGGGCAGAAGCCAGGGAAGCTGCTGGACACCCTCCGGTGTGCCGGCCGGCTCCACAGCACCCTTATCTGACCCCAAATGTCAGCAGTGCTGAGGGTGAGAAGCCCCATTTACAGCGTAGTCTACGTAAGAAATGTCCCCTGTTTTGGAGAAGCAGCACTGACAGAAAATTGGGCCACCATCAACCAAGCTCCAGGGCGGGGGAAGGGGCAGGACTAGCATTCTGGGGAAGCCTGTGATCTCGGGGGCTGGCGGTCCTGTCTCCCATCCCCTCTGTGTAGTGGAGGCCAGTGGGGAGGACCTGAGGGACCAAGCCAAGGCTGCTGGGGGAGGTGCGTCCTTCAGACCAGCAGCCAGATGTCCTTTTAAAGGCCTCGAGAACAAAGCCACCACATCACAGAGCACAGGGCCTGTGACTCCCAGCGCTGCCTTTCCACCCGCTGGGCAGCTCTGGGCGAGCTCCTGCCCTCCGAGCCTGTTTCCACGTCCCTAAAATGGGCACAAGAGGAATATAGGCCTCGTTGGAGTGACTGCTTGTGGGTACGAGTTTCTTTTTAGGGTGGGGAAACTGTTCTGGAACTAGATCGTGGTGAAGGCTGTGCAGCTCTGTGAACATACTCAAATCCACTGAGTTGACATCTTAAAAGGGTGAATTTTATGGCATGTGACATATCTCAATAAAAGAACGTATTAAAAAACATATAGCTACACCCCCCCCCCCCCGGGTGGTCTCACAAAGCTGATGTGGCTACATGTGCCATGAGTGGTAATGCCTGGTTTGGCCAGGGGTTGTTCATCTGGAACGTTCCCCCCAAAAGGGCAGGTGGCTGAGCAGGCACATGGGTGCTGACCACCAAACACTGAGAGGGCTTTGCTTCTTGGGAAGCCAAAGTCTTTGACTTTTAGTGAAGGGAAGCAGCCTTCAGAACCATACAGGGTGTGTAGAGGCCCTGAGCCCAGCTCCCCTGCAGATGCTGGTCGGGGGTGGGGGGTTGGTGCCTTAATTGGGACAGGGCCCGCTTATGCTCATCGGGCACTGGGCTGCTTCCCAGGCTCTTAAGGTCACTGGCAGGTGTGAACTTGCCAGCTCAGCTCCCTTCTCCTTGGTGGCACCTTGAGGTCACTTAGGAAGTCACTCATCACCAGGGGCCACAGCCAGGACCCCTAGGTAAGTGGTGAGCAAGCGACCCAGGATGGGCCATTCTGCACCTTGTGTTGAATCGAAGTCGTAAAAAAAATTGAGGTGCCATTCAAGGGCAGGTTCAGGGTCATCCTCCCCAGCAGGGGCCGCCGAGCAGACCGCTCTGTGGAGGCCCCTGGCTTCCCCACCTCGCAGCCACCTGGACTTCGGCCCATTTCTAAGCCTTCCCGCTGCCCCTGTGAGCTCCTCACTTCCCTTCCAGCACATTCCGCAGGCTAAACCGGCCAGAGTGGCTTTCTGGTGCTCACCCGCAAGGCACACGCCCAGGGACGGCGGCCTCCCTTTAGTCTCAGCCGGGCCAGCAGGGCAGTGGGGCGAGCTGGTCAGTGCCACCCGGAGCAGGCAGTTCTGGAAGTTTCCGGGGTGTGACATTCTACAGATGGCGAGCGACAGAGGGGCTGGCAAACACCCCCACAACACTGGGGCTGTCATGCATCTCGGCACTAGGCCCCCCGCTCTGCCGCCGAGCCCTGGGCGGACCTCGGCCGAAGTGACGGAAAAAAGCCCGCACCGTGCGCGCTCAGGCTTAGCGGGGGGTCTGATGCCCGCCAGAGGAGGGGCCGGAACCTGAGCATCGCTGACCAGAACGGAAGCAGGCTGAGGAGTCTGGGCATGGTGAGAGGAGAGAGGAGATCTGCTTCCCAGTCCTGAAAGACCCCAGAAATCCCCCGAATGCCTGAGGCCTGTGCTCCAAGGCCAGAAGACACACCTGGCCTCTACTGGGCCCTCTGTGAACCTCACTGGGGGGGAGAGCACCCACCCTTGCAGGGGACCTGGCGGCAGCAGCTTCTTCTGGCCTGGGCAGTTCTGACCACTAGGGGCCAGCATTGGACAGGAGAACCAGGAGGGGCCCAGGGGTCCTAACCCACCACAGCGCGGCCAACAATCCCGAAAGAACTGACCTTAGAGAACCTTTGTGTCGCCATATCACCGCTATATACGGCACCAGGCAAAGCAGTTCCCTGGCATTATTTCATCAAAATCCCCAGGCTCTACGGGATATATGCAATTATCTCTACTTAGACTTGATGAAACAGGTTCCGAGAGGTGAAGGGTTCTGCCCAAGGTCACACAGCTAGGAGGCAGTGGGCTGGATTCAAACCCAGAACCCATGGCTGTCCCCATGGATAGTTAGTTAGCCAGCATCAGTGCTCTGTGCAGGAGACCGCGGTGTTCTAAGAGCTTCATGGGACTCCCTCACCCACCCCTATCCCCCAGGAGCACCCTGCACACTCTCCTCCCAGACAAGGTCACGCTAAGCCCTTGGTGGTCCTGGCTCCCTCCTGGGAGGGCAGGGTGAGGTAAAGACTCTCCCCCCATTCTGGTACCAGATAAAGGGCACTAAAGTCCAGAGAAGTTTAGTGAGTGGCCCAAGGTCACACAGGAACAGGCAGAGCAGGATTCCTGGGCCCTGGACCCCTTTCACCAGGCCCGGACACACCACCTGGGCTCTCTGTCCCCACAGGCGGGCTGGGCACTTCCATGGAAGACACTGCGTTTGGAAATACATGGAAGGTGTGTTTGGGATTGGGGAAAAAAAGAATAACATTTTTTCCTTGACAACCCAAGTAAGACATTTTCACTAGAGATTTCCTGCAATCCTCCTACCCAGAAATAACCACTGTTAGTTTTTTGGTGCATTTTCTCCCAAACGTTTTCCTAAACAAGTATGTGTATTTTAAACAAAAATGGGCTTTGTTTGTTGACAGTGGAAGTGTGGATGGGCTCCCGCACGCTCACCAGGCCCCTGCAGGTGGATGAGAGGTTGAGGCCTGGGCTCAGGGGGCTCAGGGGTCCATGTGGAAGGAGGCTGACAGAGCATCACGGACCCCACGGCCAGCTGCACCCCCTCCCCCGCTCCGCTGCAGGACTCCCGGCAAACCTGTCCCCACCCCGTCCCCCACACCCCTTCCCCAGCACATCACGTGGCCTCTAGCAGCTTTCTGGACGCCCCGGATGTGTGCAGGTGGGGCGGGGTCTCACCATGGCCAGCTCGGCCTCCAGCTCCTTCATCCGGTTGTCCTTGAGGTCCAGCTGGGAGCGCAGCGCCGTGGCATGGTCCGTGGCCTCCTTGGCTTGGCGCCGCAGCTCCCACTTCTCGCGCTCCAGCAGGTCCTTCTCCTTTGCCAGGGCTTTGACGGCGTCTTCGCTCTCCTGCAGGGACAGAACGCCAGGCCGTTACAGAGGGGGCGCAGGGCCTCCTCTTGGAGGGGCCATAGAGGCCTTGACCCCGGACCAGAGGAAGATGAGGGAGGCCCCTGGCTCTGCCTCAGCTTAGCTGGGGGACTGGACTGAGACAAACCTTTAGTAGGTGCTCCGTACGTCTTGTTTCCGTGAACAGATGAAAAAATGAATGTGACGAGTGTTTCTACCCCATCAAGTCTCTGTTTCTCCATCTTTAATACCGGGGCGGGGGTGGGGGGAGTGTCGACCCCACTTGTTTCAAAGGACTGTTATAAAGAAATGACTTCCCGAGTGGGGGATACCTGGAGTCTGAGGGAAGTCTGGGTCAGGAGAGGTGTTGGGCTCTGGTGTTTGGTAACACGCATGTCACAGAAAAGGAGAGATGGAGAAGGAGACACCTGCTGTCCGGCTGCTCTGGTTGCCCAGGGGTCCCGCAGCACCCCGCAGGGTCACAGCCCACGCCAAAGCAGGCTGAACCCCTCCACGAGCGGCTGTGACCAAAGGCAGCAGGGTGGCCGGCAGATCCCCCAGCCCCGAGCCGTTTCCTCGGAAATGCAGAGGGAGGGTCCCAGAGCTCCAGCTGCCCCGAGCCGGAGCAAAGCCAAGGAACAGACGGCTGTGTCAGGGGGTCTGACCTCCATGGGCAGGAGCCAAGCGTCCGAGCAGCAGGTGCCCTTCCCGAGAAGAAGGGTCCCAGCGCAGGGCCCTGCCCAACCACCGCCGCACCCCCCACCCGCAGCAAGGTCTTCCCGTTCACGGGCTCAGGAGCCCTGCTCACGGTCTGTGTGCGGCCCGGGGCTGTGCGGAGGCGGCCTTCCTGCCTTGTTTGCCAGCCCTGTCTCCGAAGGCCTGACAGCCAGATGGCCAGAGCCAGGGAGGCCCAGGGCTGGCCCTCTCTCTGGGGCTGTCACAGAGCTGAGGCTACGGCTTATGGTCAGGGGAGAAAGAGTGTGGGTCAAATCCTGGGCTCTGCAAGGACAGGCTGCAGGACTATCAGGCCCCCGCGCCCTCGTCTGTAACCCGGAGGTAACATGCCGGGACTTCAGGTGTTATTCTGAGGACGGACTGAGATAATCCATGTGGAGAGCTCAGCACCGCATGGGCCCGTGGCCATCTCGGCTCAGAGGTCCTCTCCGAGTGGCCTTTCTGGATGACCCGCCTGAGAGCGGCTCTCTGTGCTGCTACCCAACGTTGGCACTGAACGCATATTCACGGACACCGTGGGCAGGCACAAGCCTCCCAGAAATGCCTGCATCCACACGGGGTGTGAGAGCAGGGATGTGCCGTTCGGCGCATGGACACATACCTGGGTCCCAGAGGGCCAGCCCACACACAGCAGCGGGTGACAGACACTGTTGCTACATGATTAGGCACCCTCGGCTGCAGGGTGCTGACCTGACCGGGAGGGCCACGGCACCACAGTGCCCGTGCCGGCTGTGAGCAGCATCCCCGCTTCTCAGTGCAGCCTCGGTGGGGGGCAGGGGATGGTCCCTTCCAGGACATGGCACTGGCCCCTGCTCTCTGGGCTCAGGACGCCTGGGTTGGAGTCTTTGCTGCAGGACACTGGCTAAATTATTCAACCTCCCCAAACCTCGACCAACCGCCTCATTTGTGAGACAGCAACAGTCCCACCTTCCAGGGTGACAACGCTCGGCAGAAGGCGGCCATATAAGCTACACAGCGACAGATGGCACTATCACCCCATCACAGGTGGAGCCATACTGGAAGGTTCTGGAAGCAATCCGCTCAGTGCTGGAAGGCATGCCACGGCTGGTTAGTTCTCCTTTCTCTGGGGAGCTGGGTTCAGGTGGGGTCAGGGCAAGAGGGGACAGGAACAGCCCCTAGCATGCACAGGGATGGGGAGCTCTTACCCTGGGGGCTGAGCTACGTCCTGTGCATCTGCCCCCAGCACCGGGCCACAAGCCTGGATCACAGAAGGGCCCAGGACGTGAAGTGTGTGGAACTGAGTAACTGATGCTGACCCGTGGCCGCACGGCTGCCCTCAGCTGCAGCAGCTTCCACCCTACCCGCACTGCTAGCTGTCTTGGGGGGGGCAGTTACCTAGACTTAAAAAAAGGGCATGGTCCAGGGGTGAAGTGGGTCTCCGTGGAAATTTCATTTTCCAGTAAGAGCACAATTATAAAAACAAATTTGACGACCCCTTGCCAAGACAGAAGTGTTTGCTGTTAAGCCCCAGGAAGGCCACAGTGCCATTGAGATGCTCAGCGTACCACCCACGGCTCACGGGGGTGGGCAGCCACTACCTCCTCTGGTCTGCCTTGGGTTGCTTGGTAAACAGCAACAGTAAAAATAACTTGTTTGGCTAAACTCCTACTCACCCTGCAGAGCCCAACTCCTCTGTCCCCTCCTCCATGAAGCCTTCCAAGACTCTTTTCCTGCAGGCAGAATTTCCTGCTCTCTCACCAGGGCTCCTGGGTCTCTCTGCACACTGGTATTATGGTATTATCAATAAGATGCTGTAACTAATATTCACCGAGCCCTTACTATACGCCAGATGCCACGTAGACTGCTTTGCATTCATCACATCTCATCCAGTGCTAACACCTCTACAAGGTCTGAGGCTCTCTGAGGGGAGGTAAGATGCCACAGGGCACACACCTAGGGGGCTGGGATCTGAACCTAGGCCAGCCGGAATCCAGAGTCCACAGTCAGCGACTGGGCTGTCCTGTCCAGGCTTATCTGCCCAGGAGGCCTGGGGAACCCCCAGCTAGGGGCTATGCCCATTTCATCTCCATACCCAAGCCTAGCCCAGACACATCAGAGGCCTCCTCAGGCGAGCAGGGGACATGGGCAGTGAGTGTGTGTTTGGGGATGAGAGAAGCCAGACCTCCTGATGGCAGAGAAGGTATCCTGCAGGCAGTGGGAGGTGAGGGTGCTGGTGTGTCTGTACAGGGGGTAAGTGGGGAGGGACCTGGTGTTTGGGGTGGGCGAGGGGAGGAAGCAGGGGGAGGGGATGAGAGGGAGGGGGAGGAAAGGGGAGCTGAGTGGGAGGGAGCAGGAGGCGGAAGGGAGGAGGGCTGAGGGAGAGGGAGCTGGTGTGGGGGGGGAGGGTGGGCCGGCCCCCACCTTGCGGTGCTGCTCGTAGTTGCGGATGAAGTCGCGCAGCTGCTCCTCGCGGCTCTCCAGCGTGGCGTACAGCTGCTGCATCTGGCTCGCCAGGTCCGTCTTCTCGCCCTTCAGGCGCTTCCGGTCGGCTTTCATGGCTATGGGGGCAGAAGAGCGCGTCAGTGCCCGGGGCCCTTGCTGGCCGATGGCCCCAGAGGCTGAGAAGAGACTCAGCCTCTAACCTCTTTTTAAGAGAAGAGAAAACGGGGTGCAGAAAGATGATGTTTCTCTCCCACGTGCCCCGGTCACTTAGTGGCATCCCCAGGACTCGAACCCACGGTCCCTGTTCTCACCTCTCAGTTTCACTGATCCAATCAGGGCGGCAAGCCCTAGCCTGAGCATCCCTCCCAGCCCTGAATGGAAGAAGGGTCTCCAGGCAGAGGGAGCTGGGGGCCTGGCAAGCATCTGTGTCCACGGCCCAGGAAGCTGACAGTGCCCCACTCCCTGCTGAAGGAGCCCCCACGGCCCACTTGGAGCCCCAGGACCACTTGGCCCAGCGCGACAGTCCATCGTCTGGTTCAGTTCCTCCACAGGAGAAGCACTTGATTAAAAATACCCAGCGAGTGGGGTGCCTGGGGGGCTCAGTGGGTTCAGCCTCTGCCTTCGACCCAGGTCATGATCTCGGGGTCCTGGGATGGAGCCCCGCATCAGACTCTCTGCTCAGCAGGGCACCTGCTTCCTCCTCTCTTTCTGCCTGCCTCTCTGCCTACCTGCGATCGCTCTATGAAATAAATAAATAAATAAAATCTTTAAAAAAAAACAAAACAAAAAACACCCAGTGAGATATAACACCAAAAGTACTCACAAAAGAACAAAACACAGCTGCATCACACTCCATCAACACGGGACACTGCTGAGCTCCCGAAGCCACCACCATGGAAGCGAAAAGACAATGCAGAGAATGGCAGAAAATACTTCCAAACCATCTGGTAAGGGCCTTATGTACCGAATATACAAAGAACTCTTAAAATCCGATAATAAAAAGACAACCTGAGTAAAAAACAGACAAACCACCTGGACAGACATTTCTCCAAGAAGTGGTCAACAGGCACATAAAATGAGCTTGACGTCATTTGTTAACAGGGAAACGCAAATCAAAACCCCCACCAGATACCACTTCACACTCACCAGAATGGCCAAAATAAGCAAGATAGACTCAAGTGTTGACACAGATGTGGGGAACCTGGGACACCTCCCAAGCTGCTGCCCGGGATAGATGGAATGGGGCCGCCATCTTGGAAGAGAGCCTGACAGTTTCCCAAGCGAGTCAAAGTCAAGTTGCTCTATGATTCAGCAATCCCCTCCTAGGCACACCCCCAAGGGAAATGAAACGTAAGTCCACACAAACACACAAATGTATAGCAGCACAGGTCACAGAAGCCAAAAGTTGCGAAACCGCCCAAATGTCCATCAACTGATAAATGGGTTAAGAACAACAACACAGTGTGGTATAATAGCCATATAACGGAATGTTATTTGGTAATAAAAAGAAGCACTGGGTGGCTCAGTGGGTTTAGCCTCTGCCTTCAGCTCAGGTCATGATTTCAGGGTCCTGGGATCGAGCCCCGCACCAGGCTCTCTGCTCAGCCGGGAGCCTGCTTCCCCCTCTGCCTCTGCCTGTCTCTCTGCCTACTTGTGATCTCTCTGTGTCAAATAAATAAAATCTTAAAAAAAAAAAAAAGCACCACTTTATGCTACACCACGGGTGAACCTTGAAAACATGCTACATGAAAGGAGCCAGTCACATACCGTGTGATTCCACAGACTTTATGAACGGTCCACAGTAGGGAAGACTAAGGAGTCACGAAGTAGACTCATGGTGGCCCAGGGTTGGGGGGTGGAGGCTGGCAGGGACACGTGGCTGGAGGGGTGGTGGCTGGAGGGCATGGGGTTTCTTTTTGACCTCATCAAAATGTCCTAATAGTGACTGTGGCAAAGGACATACAATCTGTGACTAGACTAAAAACTATTGAACTGTACATTGTAAGTGGGTGAATTGAATGATATGTGAATTATATCTTAACAAAGCTGTCTCTCTCTCTCTCTCTTTCACACACACACACACACACACACACACCCACGCAGGGCCATGAGCCCCAAGCACCTGCCTGACAGGCAATTTGCCTTTTGCGGATGGCAGACTCTCTCCCTTGTGCCCTGGACACCCCTGCTCTACAGCGAATGGCGCTGCTGAGTCCACGGTGGGCCTCAGTGCCTTTTCCCACAGGCCCCAGAACTCTGTTCTCTCCCTGGAGAGAACACTGAGGAAGCCTTTTGTGTGAGAAGGCACAGAGTAGTTAGGTCATTTTCCCAAAGTCACACAGCTGACGCTACACTACGCTGCCCTTATAGAGACTGTCCAAATGGGGTCCGGGCCCACAGTGAGCTGAGGGCAGTGACATGTGGCAGGCAATGGCTGTGCCATCCCTCCTCATCCTGAACATCCACCCCACAAACTCAGCCTGCCAGTGGGAGAGTCGGAGCCACCAGGTGTGACATAAGGACCAAGGACCCTGGGCTCCAGCCTGGTGTTCGACAGAAGCTGATGTCCTTCTGGCCCTGAGGGGACTCCTTCGTCCTCTTGCCCTTTGCCTCCCTCCCTGCAGCCTGGGTAGAACAGGGCACAGGTAGGTCAGCTGGGGCCATGGGGAGACCCATGTAGTGGGGACCCTGAGTCTTGGGCAGGCCTTTACATTCCAGCTTTTAACCTGTCCCCCTGCAGCTGGACACATCCTCTGTCCTCTTCATGGTAGCTCAGCTCAGTGGGGCCGGAATTCCGGGCTGCAGGGCTGTGACTACGGGACAGGGACAGTGGAGGCCATGGAGCAAGAGCTTATCTGTTGTGGCTCCTGTCAGGCAGGGGGTGGCCCCGGGGAGGGCTGGGAGGCAGGCAGGGCTGGGCTAGTTTTGGGCCCTGGACCGTAACACGGTGTGACTGCATTCCTAGTGAGCTTCTCTTTAAGAAAACCCAACATCTAACGACGTTTAAGTGGGTCAGAAGGCATCTCACCAGGCACAGGTGTCACCAAGAACTTGGAAATTTCCATCTGCAGTCTGTCACTAGATCCTAGATCCTGGCCGCACTCCAGTGACAGAGGTGGGAAGTGGGTGGGTATTTTTATCATCCCATTTCACAGGGGAGCAAACTGAGGCCAAACAGCCAACAAATGGCAGAGCTGGCTCCGACCTGGCACCTGACTCAGGCGGGTTTCAGACTGTCGAGGGGAGTGGTTCCAAGGGGTGGGGGACTGCGGGGGGGGACAGCTGATCTGAGCAAAGTCACCATGGGGGCTTCCAGGGGAGCCTTGGGTGGGACCCTCCATCTCAGGTGAGCAGCTGAGCAGGTGTCATGGACTCCCCCGGGGAGCACGCCTCTGCCCTACAGCAAGCAGAGGAAGCCATGCCTCTGCCTTTTGGTTGGAAATTAATCCCCCTTGGGCTCTGATTTGTCTCCTTCATTTGCCTTATCAGGACAAACACCAAATTCCAGACTTTGCTCTTGACAGCAGGAGGCTCTGGGAAGGCTGCCGCCCCTTCCCTCCAAAGCACGGCCGGGCCTCCCTTCACTTTTGCCACATGGCCTTGGAGAGGGGCGATGCGGCAGCCTCTTGCTGGCCTCCATGAATCCCCACGGGTCCATCCCTGCAGCACCCGCGTATGCAGCAGCACGAACCCCCATTCTGTCCTTCAGCGGAGCCGTGTGAGTGCGTGTGTCTCTGTGTGCGGATGGCCTCAGTGGCGGGGCAGGAGGCCATACCTCCCCCATCCGGCTGGGGGCTCCTGAGAGCAGAGGCTGGACTTCCGCCTTCAGACTGGTAGCTCCTCCTTAAGAGGAAACGGAGAGCTCCCCCAAACTGCTGACCAAGCCCCTTCTGTGTGCCGGGATCCATGCCTGCTGCTGTTGGGGGACAGGGATGAACAAGACACAGTCCTGCTCTTGGGGGGGGTCAACAGGGTGATGGAGAAGACAAACCCCTCCCTACACACGAGGATGACACTAGACTCCACCCACCCTGCTCTTTACCAAGAGAACCCCAATTCTGCTTGTGCCCAGCTAAAACACTCAACATCCCAAGCTCCCTTGCAGCTAGAGGGGGCATGTGTCCAATTTTGGCCACTAAGATTTATACACAGGGATCTTTGGGAAATCCCCCCTTTTCTTTTTTTCTTTCCCTTTTTTTTTTTTTCTTTTCTTGAGAGACATGCTGTGCTGGAGTGGTGGGAGTAGGGAGGAGTGGGGAGGGGCAGAGGGAAAGAGAGAATTCCAAGTAGGGTTCACGTCCAGCGTGGAGCCCAATGTGGGGCTTGATCTCACGACCCTGAGATCATGACTTGAGCCGAACTCAAGTTGGACCTTAACCAACTGAGCCATCTAGGCGCCCCTCCTGTTTTCTTTTTCCCTTTTTTTTAAAGGTTTTATTTATTTATCCAACAGAGAGAGAGCACAAGTAAACAGAGTGGCAGGCAGAGAGAGAGAGAGAGAGGAGAGAGAGAGAAGCAGGCTCTCTGCTGAGCAGGGAGCCTGACACGGGGCTCAATCCCAGGACCCTGGAATCATGACCTGAGCCGAAGGCAGCTGCTTAACCAACTGAGCCACCCAGGAGCCCCCCTGTTTTCTTTTTAGTAAAAGATCATAGCATAGTACACTAGCAGTAATTATTCCCTTTTGCCCTTTGGTCTTCTTCCTACTGGGAACACAGACGTGACGTCCTGAGGCACAGTAGCCCTTTTGTGAATACAAGAATGAAGACACAAGCTGAGCATGGAAGCAAACAGACAGACAGAAGGGGCTGGATCCCTGATGGCATCATCTGGGCCAGGATTCCTTATAATAGGAGAAAATTAAACCCCGCTGTTTCTGGGATTTCCCATTTCATTCACCCCAACACATTCCTAATGGACACATCAAGGTAGGCTGTGAGAAGTGCCTTCACCCCACCATGAAAGTTTCTGCTCCATGGTTCCTTCACGTGAGCTCTCCCTGGAAATTCTTGCTCTATGAATTCTGGGCTGGACCCCGCCAGGCTGAGCACTGAAAAAAACATGAAAAGCTGACTCTCTGGGAATGAATGCCGAGTGCAGATCCCTTAAAGACGAA